GTCCAAGGAGTGTGGGGTGACCCATCATCAGTTGCGAGGAGCAACCTCTGCAAGGGATGAGTGAGGGTTGTGAAAAAAAGGCCGTATGCGTAATCGTTTAAAGCATCCCGGTAAAGATTACCCGAGACAAAATGGATTTTGTACAGAAAGTCCACAAAGGCTAATCAGTCAGGTGAACAGGGCGTACGTCACCATGCGAAAAAAGGTGAGTTGGTGAGTTGAGGAACACTTCGCCACCTGCATCCGAGGCTGAGTCCAGGTGTTCAGTGGGGGGATGAGGGTGGTTGAGTGATGTGGACGGAGTCCAAAGGACTGTGGGGTGACCCCTCATCAGTTGGAGGAGATGCGAAGGAGAGGAGCAAGCTCTGCAGGGATTTGTTGACCAAAAAATCATACAAGTGAATTTAAGAGGTCATTACGTTGGGAGAGGTTATGTTTGATGGACCCCAAGAAGTGGGAGCAGAGGAGGAAGAAGTCATTCTTATGAGAGAGGACCAAGTTGGACAAGTGCCAGAGTAATCTGCAGAAAAACATTGTCGTCCTCGTACAGTGGCCTCGTAAACGTACACGAGGAAATCACTGTTTGTACAGAAAGTGTTTTTTAAACAGGAAGTAGTCAGTGGTTTTTTTATAGAGTTGTAGTGTCCAGCCGCGTGTCATTGGCCAAAAAAATGTTAATTTAAAGCACAAGTCCACTTGTATTTACTTGGTGTTGGTGTTTGACTGGTGGTAGAGGGTGGTAGGTGAAGGGAGGTGACCCCAAGAAGTGGGAAAGAAGCCATTCTTACTGAAGGGACCAAGTTGGACAAGTGCCAGACCAAATATGACCAGAATAAATTGAAAAAAACAGTATGGTAATCGTTTACAGTAAATCTCCCAACCCCACCCCCCCCCCCCTACTCCCCCCCAATCCATCTTCAACCACCCCCCACTCCCCAACATCATCCTTGTAATCGATTACAGTGTCAAAAAAGATGTAAACTTGATTTCTAAGGCATAATTTGAAAGGTCTTTGAGTATAGATTCCAACAAAACAAGAATCAACTCATTTGGAGTTCGGTGCTGAGAATGGACGATGAAAGTTAGAAAGTTAAAGTGGGAGAAAGTATGAGAAATAAGAAGAACAAGCAAGTGAGAGTGGCAAAAATATATGAAAACGCTAACTTGATAAGAATAAACTGTACCAACTCATATGTCCAAAATTACAAATAGTTAGTCATTGGGAAAGATTTTTGAGTCTAGTTTCTAATAAAAAAAGAATCACATCATTGGAAGTCGGTGGGAAAAGTTATCAGTTAAAATAGCCAGCAAAGAGTCAAAGTTGACAACAGGTTATCTCACCCAAATCTCCCATGTTGCCTCATCTCATAAACATTGTTTTTTTCTTCATCATGGGGTGGTGCCAAAACATCACTTCCCACCAATGAAACACCACAGGACCCGCATAAGAAAAGTGCAAAAGTGCTAAAACTCACCTTGTTTTTTTTTTTTTTTTTTTTTTGTTATGGCCAATGGTGACCCTAGTTCACCTGACTATGTATCTGTGCTTGCGACTTTCTGTACAAAATCCAGTTTTGTCCGAGTAATCGTTTACAGTGCCCTTTGTAATCGATTTTTACAAGTGTCAAAAAAGGTGTAACTTGATTTCTGAAGGCATTAATTTGAAAGTCTTTGAGTATAGATTCCAACAAAACAAGAATCAACTCATTGGAGTTCTGGTGGAGAACAGAAGTTATGAGCAAAAGAACAAGCCAAAAGGTCAGAGTGGTCAAAATATATGCGAACGCATAAGCACCGCTAATTGAAAGAATAAAACTGTACCAACTAGATGTCCAAAAAATACAAATTCCACCGTAGTCATCTGAATAAGATAAAAGATTTTTGAGTCTAGTTTCTAATAAAAAAAGAATCACATCATTTGGAGGTCGGTGGGAAAAGTTATCAGTAAAATAGCCAGCAAAGGTCAAAGTTTACAGCATGTTATCTCACCCAAGTTGCTCATCTCATAAACATTGTTTTTTTCCTCCATCATGGGGTGCCAAAACATCACTTCCCACCATGATGAAACACAGGACAGCCTAAGAAAAGTGCCAAAGTGCTCCTAAAACTCCTTTTGTTTCCAATGGCTGACCCATGTTCACACTACTGAGTAACCTTGGTTTGGAATTGTTTCTGTACAAAATCCAGTTTGTCTCGGGTAATCGTTTACAGTGCGTCTTGTATCGATGACAGCTGTCCAAAAGGTTTGTTGGCATAAACTTGATTTCTAAGGCATAATTGAAAGGTCTTGAGGTAAGATTCCAAACAAAACAAGAATCAACTCATTTGGAGTTCTGGTGGAGAAAAATGTTATGAGCAAAAGAACAAGACCAAAGGTGAGAGTTGGCAAAAATATATGAAACGCTAATTGAAAGAAATAAACTTGACCTACCAATCAGAGGATCCAAAAAATACAAATAGTATAGTCATTGGAAAAGATTTTTGAGTATAGTTTCACATCACATCACCAACCACCCTCTCCCACCACTGAAACACCTGGACCAGCCTCAGACAGGTGCAGAACTGCCTAAAACTGAGCTTTTTTTCCAATGGTGACCCCTGTTCACCTGGCTGACTACCTGTGTTGGACTTTATGTACAAAATCCAATTTTCTCTCGGGTAATCGTTTACCAGGATTCTGTAAACGATTACCAGACCATTTTTTCAACACTCTGACTCATCCCTTGCACTACTTCGTCCCCCTACTCATGGGTCACTCCACACTTCTTGCGTTTACATCAATGACCAACACCCATCTCCCCACTCAGAATTTGATCAACTCCTTCCCATTAATTACCATTAATTTTACTGAAAATGGTCTCGTACTTTTCAAATTCTTATTATAATGCTGCGTTCATTTTTCAATCACTACTTTTGTCATTATAAGTGAGATTAACACAAAGTAAAAATGATAGAGCGAGAGAGCGAGACAACGACAGCGAAGATGGAAGCTTCGAAGACGAACGCACACAGAACAAAGTGAAGCGCCACGAAACGCGACCTTCGACCTTCCAAGAGAACGCACCTTCGTTTCCAATGGAACAGAGAAAGGGCTATTTTCGGAATCTCAGTAAAAATAAGGGTTACGGACTTCCGTTTCGTAGGTTTTAAAAAAAATTTATTTTTAAAACAAACCAATCAAACAACGACACGTGGCGTTGTCAAAACAGTGTTAAATATGCGTTGTTGGAATATCGCGGTCCATTGTCTTTTGACTAGATGAAAGGACTGTCATTCTCATTGAGATTCTCTAGTTTGCTTCGACGCCTATATATTAATTTAAATAATAATTAAGTTTTTCTTAAGAGATAAAATAAATATAACCTCATGAAAGCAGGATGGGAAGTACTAATCACCTCTATAGAAAAGAAAAAAAGAGGTTGTTTAAATATGACTTCTAAGACCAACATGAAAAGATTTCATAACATAAATACAAAATCTAATGCATAAATTTAAAAAGTTATTATCACACTCATGAGGTGAATCTAAGTAAGCTTATCTAAATAGGCATGAATTACAAAATTGAGTAATAACCAATTTTTAGGGACACTGCAAAAGAAACTACAGAAACAATTGCATGGTTCAGAAAAACATGACAGCTTTGCATATTCGAAGATACGAGCAACGGCCATGAAGCAGAAGTAAATGTAAAAGGTAGCGAAACTATGCAATGACAAAATCAGTAGCCGTCACAGCTTGCATCCCTTCCAACCCACTTATGTCAGTACGAGCTGCTTGAATCATGCGGACATCATTGGCTCCATCGCCAGTGCTAAGTGTTATTTTTCTGAGAAAAATATCTTTTTAACAATTTTTTTTTATAATTCTTTTACAATCCCTTATTCAATAATTTATGATTGGTCCATTTTAAATATACAAACTAATAAAATAATGACACAGTTATTGTCAAAAAATTGTTAAAAATAGTTATTAACATCATTCTGTTTTTCTTGCATTTTTCCTAACCAAATTTGTGACTTGAACCGTAATTAACATTCACTATGCAAGTAGCACAAGTACTCCCAACAAAGTCAAAAATTGATTTAGAATTAGCTTTGTTAACAAAAAAATTCCCTAAAATTAACAAGAATAAAATTAGCTTTTTCAACATCCTCACCAAAAGTTTTGCCCTTGTTCTTCTTTTTAGTATTTACACATTTGATTGCATTGACGGTCGAATCTAAACTTCACTTGGTTGATCCTTAGTTGTTTTGTGAAAACCCAAAAAATCTCAGGTTACCTTGTGAAGACCCAAATGATGATGCTGACAATGAAGTATTATCAACATATCTTTGACCATCTCGATTAAAAGACCCCTCAGATGAAGAAAAACAAAACAATTGACATAATTACGTTAAACAAGAAAGTGAAAGACAAAAGAGAAGTAGCATGAGAAAATGTGAAAATGATAGTTCAGCCTCATCCTATTTATAGAAGTCAAAGGTTGAACAGTCATGAAACAGCCTCATCCTATTTATAGAAGTCAAAGGTTGAACAGTCATGAAACTTTAGTCATTAGATTTATTCGCATGTAACGATCCACAAGGATCTAACACTTCACATTCCTTAATAGACACAAAGTTTGGATCATCATAACTATTGTTCTCAATGTTCAACACTAGCATTGAATGACTCAAACGGATGAAACAAATCATTTAACGGTCAAACAACAAACTCCTTTTCAAACTCTTATAGGTGCTTGGGTTTAAGCGTTTATGTATAGTATGGATCATTTGGTTGAGATATGCACCAAACAGTCAACCAACTAGTCAACCAAAGTTAAATTCTATGTTAACTAGAAAACCATGTCAACCAACTAGTCAACCAAAGTTAAATCTATGTTTAACTAGAAAACCAAATGGTCAGAACTAAGCGACTTAAAGCAAAAAAATCATTTGATTAAATCTCTAATTAGGATTAGAGATGTTTGGATCCTGATTAGACAACATTTAATCAAAAACGAAAAATTATAATTAAAAATCCAGGTGTATGTTAGCATGAATTACACTTTTATTATTTTTGCCGTCTCAAACTTAATTACTTTGAAAGGATCTTTAACATGTATCTCATGATCCACTAACGAACACAAAAAAAAAAGTTTAGAATAAATAATTGGATAATAACCGATCAATTCTAACAACTACTATTTTGTATCCCATTTTAATGTCCAATCATAGTTACAAGAAGCGGAAAGGGGATGTTTCTAGCAATGCATTTTTCTTATGAGAGGCCAGATCCCTTTAATGTAGTTTTGGTAAAGTGATGGTGAATGAATTCATTATATGAACCAAGGGTTGTTCTTTGTTTGTTTGCGCATATCAGTTTCTAGGTTTCAAAACAAAGAATAGCAGAGTGGTGCTAACAACTCAGCATAAGGACAATGTTCATATGTCATTGTCTCATGCTATAATGTTTTCGAGAACAAGCTAGTTGAAATCTTTTATATTTTATGTTCTTAGAATAAACATTCAGGAACACATTTCAAATTATCCTAAAAAACATTATTTCATAATTAAAATTTTATTGTGAAATGTTAGGTGATAATCAATTTGAAATAATTAAAAATCAATTTCGGATAATGTATTCTTTATGTTATTTGGAATCTTTATTTAAAAATATTGTTATCTAGAACATTTCGAAAATGCATAATCACATAATTTTTTAGTATATTTTGAATGTATGCCTACAGAAAATAAAAAAACTTAAAATAATAAATTTGTTATTATAATTAATGAATATTGTATGAAGAACCTATGGGGTGACATGTGTAGGGGTGGAAGAAGTAAAAGCCTTTATTTATTTTTGTTGTAAAAGATATATGAGAGTGAAAAAAGTAAGGGAGTGCTCCCTCCACACCACCAACCATTCCTTACACCTTCAATACCATAATTTGCCTCCCCCCTCTTCTCCCTTCTATAAAACGGATGTCAACATCCTTTCACCTTCAACGGATGTAGCGTACGGACACAGCCGGGTGAGAAAGGAATTTAAAGAGGTATTATTGATGTATTAAATAATAATGATAGACAGTAAATGGATGAATGAAGGATGGGATGAAGAAATAGAAAGGATGGGAAAATAAAAATAATGTAAGGGAAAAAGGATAAAAAATGTTAGAAGAATGGAAAAGATAAAAAAATGAAATAACAAAAAAAACAAAAAAAGACAACGGATGTGGGCCACAACGTGAAGAGGTGGGCACATCGTTTAAATATTTGAGAAAAAATTTGTAATTGATTGAGTTAAATATAAGACATATCAAAAGGAATAATGGAATAAGTAAGGAGTGGAAACGAAAATGAAAAGTAATGGAGAAAAAGAAGTAAGAATTTAAGGGGAAAATAAAATCGAATATTGGATACATGAATTGAAAATAAAAAATAGGAAAAAAAACTAAAAACAAAAAAAAATGCAACGGATGTCGACACATCCGTTAATGGATGTGGCACATCCGTTTTAATATATGTATAACAAATTTTTTAATTATTATTTAAATAATAATACATAAATTAAAATTAATAATAATTATTTTATTAAATAAAATAAAATTAATTTATAAATAATTAAGTAATAATTTAAAAAAAATTAAATAATATTTATATATTAATTTAAAATACAATAAATTAAAAAAAAAAAAACTCAACGGATGTGGCACATCCGTTGAAAAATTTTTTCTTCAACGGATGTTGACATCCGTTGAAGAAATGAGGTGGAAGTGTAAGATATTTTAAAATATAAAGGATAATTTTGAAATTTTACAAAAATGTAGTGGTACAGGAGCAAGGAGCAAAGTGGGGTGGTGTAGGGAGCAAGACCCAAAAAGTAATTCTCTCATAGCAAAGGTAGAGAAGAAGTCCAACGAGAATCCATGAAAAGCATTACCAGCGGTTAAGGTTGTCGTTGTTCAGTTTCTTCCTCCAAACGATAACAATCAAACAATCGAATACTAAAAGGGAAAAGAAAAAACTCCATGTTCTGTCTCCAATGGCAGGAGCTACTGCAACTACACCACCATTAATCAATCTCACCACACTCCTCCAAGCCCCGTCACTTCTCTGCAAACACATTCCCTTCTCTTACCAACGCTTTTATTCTGGATTCTCCTCAACCACAGTTAAAGCCCAAACACCAAATGTCATAGCAAGGTATGTATTACATAAACACATACATGATATGATTTGATGTATTTTATGTAAATAATGGCTCAATTGTATTTCACATCTTTTTTCTTTATTTTTTGTGGGTCTGAAGCTGAATAGTTCGGGTGGGGGAGAGCCATATGAGATGGATGAAACGGGTTTGTTTGATGAGTATGATGGAATTGAAGATGACAGTGACGACGAGGATGCAGAGAGTAGTGTGGATTTGTTGATCAGATTTTTTCAGAGCATGTTTAAGAAAGTGTCTAAGCGAGCCAAGAAAGCTTCTCGCTCTGTTTTGCCCACAGTAATATCGCCCCAGCTTGTGAGTGCCACTTTTCTTCTCTGCTTGTTTGGAATAATTGATTTTTTTAAAAAGATTTTATGGCTGCCATGTTAGTTAGTTATTGTTCTGGTTAGTATAATAGAGATCATGAAAACTTTCTAAGTTCAATGGTCGTGTAAAGACACTGTAAAACAGTCTTACAGAATTTTACACTATTGTACTTCTTATCACAAATATCTGAGATAGTGTGATATGAATTTAAGGTAATTAGTAGAAAAATCAACAAATTCATCAGGGTAGTTTGTGACTATGAGTATCCCCAATTTATGTGTATAATTGAATGTTGATTGATTTCACTTAAAGCTGTGGCTTCAGGTTTCCTTCTTCCCCACTTCTCAATTAGTTAGTCTGATAAATTTTAGTATGGTATTGGTTTAAGGACAAAAGTTACACTCAACTAGCAACTTAGGTGGTGCTTTTTGTGTTGTTTTCTATTCAAAATTAGCATCTTTTACCTTGATGATAATTTATGCTAGTGGTATTTGATCGAAACTTTTATTACAGAAATTACTGATGTTCACTTTTTAATTCAGATTGGAGAACTGTACCAAAAACATCTATAAAAGTGTATAAGAGTTGTGTCTTTCTAGTTATTTAAACTTGTCTTGTGCTTTAAAGTTTCAGATTGGGTGTATTTTGGGTCAAAAATTGGCTTGTAATAAAACACTAAATGCAATTATTCCCAAAAATTTAAGCTAAACCAAACATGTTATGTTCTAGTTTTCTTTTGATTTCTGGACATTAATTAGGCAAGGTAGTTCTGGAAGTGCCTCCGGCTTCTTTTCTGAAATCTCCTGTGCTGAAATTAAACTTTGAATTTATCTTTTGAATGCTTTCTCTTATTTCTTTCCATGTAAATTCAGGTTTCTTTTGCTGTTGATGGAACTCTGCTACTTGCTTCGCTTTCTGTTGTGAAAGCGCTGCTTGAGGTATTACTTCCCATTACTGTATGGCTTAATCAGGAATTTGAGGCTGATTGAAATTGAAACCTCTTTCCCTTTCCAATCATCTTCCCCAGTATTTTCCCGTGATAAACTCAGCTTGAATTGACTCAATTCCTTTCCTCTGTGTAAATAAAAGATATGTGAGGAAGGTTAGCAGTGAAGGGTATGCACATGATATTTATGATTTGGGACATGTTTGAGCAAACTTCTCCATAAGAATTTCTAAGAGAGAGAAATAAGAAACTAAAGATGAAATGAATTTATCCATTAGTTATGCACAAGTTAAGAATAAGACTTTAGAAAAACTGTATGAGTGAACTATTAAAAATTAGTTAATGCATAAGCTAATTTTAGTTTATGAAGAAGTTCCTTTCTTTTTTATTTTCTTCCTATTTTGCTCCCTTAGAAGTATTTCCTTGGCACAATTTCTTTTCCATATAATTAGAAAGTGCATTATCAAGTAGGAGCTAACGGCATAGGTAATATTCATCCATGAATCGTAGGTCATGTGCACTCTCGGAGGCACTGTATTTGCTGCAATTCTGATCCTGCGTGTGATTTGGGCGGCAGTTTCTTACTTTCAGTCAAGTGGGAATAGCTTCAACCAAGGGGGAAGTTCTTTTGGTGCCGTAGCCTAAAGGCCCTGACCACTCTTCAACCTTTAGCAAAAGATGGCCAATGTAAGTGTTTCAAGATGAGAATGAGATTTGAACTTGTGATCTTGTATAAATAATTGAAATTCCTTGTTACTTGCCTAATGCCTTATTTAGTTTTATGGCATTTTCCAACTGAAGTATTAGTAGAATTTTCATGGGGTAAATATTTTATTTGATTATCTTTGACCTTAAATTCTTTGTCTGTGTTCAGATAAATTCGGCCATCCTTTGGTGTACGAATATTTGATGATTGCCACATAGAATAATTAGATGTAATTATTTTGCCTTTGTCTCAATGGTTTGCAATTTCTAATCTCTATGGTTTCTGATCTGGAAAGACTGTTTTGTGGTGCTACGATTGCATTTTCAGTGCAACCCAATTTCTAATTTATAGCCCTAAGTCTTTAATCCTACAATTTGATTTGATGATACTACTATTATTGATAGTACTTTGGATATCTATTGGCAGACTCAAACATTCAAGCTAATATATATTGTGTTTTGTGACACTTTATTTAACTTACTTGGAAGGTAATAATAAAATCAAATTCAAACTAATTGTTCTGATTAAAAGTTATGTCTCCTTTGAGTATCTCTGACGGTGAACACAGTCAGATGTTCTTAACTCTTTTTATGGATCTTATCGTGTCACCACAGTTTTAAGAACTTCAATAAATTAAAACTATCCCACGTTTTTTTTATATTTTTAATATAAACCTAATAAGTTGCTTAATTATTTTTTAAAAACTAAAATCCAAATATCATATAAAACCATATGTGCATGTGAGATCCACATCATACTTCTGTGATAGTAAACCCTGCTAACGAGTTTACACTTTAGCAGACCTTTTGGCAGAGTTGCTACTGCTAGATTATCTCATTCTTAGTGAGATCATGTGCGTTGTATGAAATGCGAAAATTATCTGCTACGAAAATTATCTTTAAATAATGAAATGGATATTTTGCTTATCATTTCTTAATTACTTTTATAGTAGATGTAATCTGTACATGTATATAACTGGAAAGTTGGACCTTTCAATCCATTGGATTTATCGTGATTTTCATGAAATCAGTTTCTTCGTTCAGATTGTCTACAAATGTTTCTCTTCCTGTTGTGTAATAGTGGCTGGTAAACTTGTGAAATCGCCACCAAGAGGACGAAATCCGTCTTACGGTAAAATGTAATGTGCCTTGTCAAATACCAAAACAACAGTTTTCAATTTAAACAACAGAGATACTACGAGTAAATTTAAGTTTCGCCATTCTTCTATATGATGATATGCTACGGTGTAATTGCTTTACTTCGTTTTGTCTGATTGAGAAATGAAATCTCCACCCAATACCTGACCAATTTCAAATACTAAACTTGAATCTCAAGAATCACCAGGACGAATTCCAATTTTCATAGAATAAGTTATAAAAAAATTCAAGATACTCTGTATCTAAATTTGTCTCTAACGAGCTGAAAGTTTCATAAAATAACCAATAGTGTCTCCATTCAATAGGCTCTAGCTTTTAAGATCTGTGTAAGTGTTCAAAGGGACTAAACAATAGAGTTAAAAAAATCACATGGGCTCAATTTATTCAACATAGCTTCACAGACAAACAACAATGTCGACACTATAGCACAATGAGTAAGCCTTTATGTATTCAGTACAAGCCGCATTGTTTTACAAGAATGACAACAATTTTAACGGTTATGAAGAGTATAGCATAGAAAGCCTATAGTCCACTAAACTACATATTGGTAAATGAATTCATTTTCCAAACGCACTAACAAATGGAGTTGCTAAAGTACTCGCTGAAGCGATCTTGTAGAAACAAATAACAGGCTCCATGCCTCCTGGAATGAGGTGTCCATGGGACTTAACAACACCTTGAGTATATGATTTACGGGAGCTCTGATGGAGAGACTAGTCATCCTATATGCATTTATTATAAGGTGTCATGGGATTTCAAAGACTATGTTGCTCTTTCAAAACCACTTCCCACCTGCATATGTAACCACTCTGGTGATGAACCTCGGCTATACTCTCTTGTAGGTTGAGAAGCGAATGCGATGCCAGTTGTATCAAATGTTTGCTGATCAAACTGGAACACCAACACAAGGATTAAAAACTGAAAGTACACCAATAATCTGATTCCACTGGCCCCAAAATTTTGTTTGAAGTTGAGTTTCTACACACTTTAAAGCTATTTACATCTTAGTATATAGAACAACATATCCTAGTCGTTGCTACCATCAACAATAAAATTTATTTACTTTATATATCAAAAATCCATTGACTATCCAATATTCCAATCCATTAAAGCACCACAAACAAAGTATCTCATTTTATTTTTGGAAGGAAGCAACATAACGTTCCACCCAGAATTTGCAAGGTGCCCACTTAACACAACAAAAGTCTTAGATCACACAAGATCATTTAGCTCAGTTAAAAATCAAATCTATAGAGCAATACGTGCAAATGAATAAAACAATAAATCCATGTGTAGGGGTCTACTATTCTATATGTTTTTTCAAATGTAAAAGCATTGAAAATTATATATTATTTCTCACTTAATTTGCATACGGGTCTACTATTCTATATTATTTCTCACTTAATATTAGCTCAGTTAAAAACCCTTTTGCATTTAAAAAGGTCGAGCTTGACACAAATTGCGTGTATAAAAGAAGCCTCTACCCAAAATGGCATACTTGCAACATAACAGAAGCAATTAAACTCATAATCCACCAAAGGCAAAGTTTAAAATAAGAGGGACAAAACCAGCTGTTCCGATCTCAAGTACCAGCTTTCTGGTTATTTATATCAAAGAGATCAATACAAAGATGCTGCATATGCTTACATCTTTAGGAGGAAACACTTCAATTCCGGAGGGTATTCTTGAATTTACGGCCTCAAGCTTCATTGACAAAAACTGTGACATAAAAGTAAAGTTTAAAAAAACTATTTAAAGCATGATATTTTCAAAAGAATGCCACCACAATTCACACCTCTACTTGCCGCTGAAGCGATTGGATATAATTAATTATCTCATCAAGAACCAAAGCTTTCCCAATAACCTGAGTCAAAGAAATACATCGATTTAGAATGTCCTTGGAAAGCAACAGCTTAGTTTGTGTAACATAACACAGACCAGGTAAACACTTCTTCTTCTTTCATTTACCACTTATTTTTTTTCTCTTTCAGTAATACACACGTAGTCAGGTAGGAAACCATACCTTATTACAACCCGGCACCAAATCCTGAAGAATTTTCATCCCTCCTCACTAATCCGTTTTTCCCGTCTAGCCTGTCCAAAAACAACATTTCCATTACAAAAATTTCAAGTCAATGACTCATACCGGAAAAGACCCGATAATTCAATATTTTCTTAAATACCCCCAAAAGACCCAACAAGCATAACAGTTTCATTATTTTTTAAACCAACTTTTTCGTGTAACAAATAATCCACTTGACACTAGATATCCCGCAGTGAAGCAAGTTTTTGGTACGGCCAGTAGTAACGCCATTACCCCAACCATTTACCATTTGGCATATTTTTCTCCTAATTTTTTTTAAATAAGGAATTTTAATAAAAATGACCAATCACATCACATGTGGCCATGTTACTCGTGTATGTTAAATTAATTTATTTTCTAGTAATTTCTTCAAAAGTCATATCAAACCACAAAATTATTTCTAAAATTATTAAGATAGAATATTCTTCCATTTTTGTTTTTATAGAGAAAAATAATTGGATGGCCCGACAGTGTTTGTAAATTGATATTTTTACCAATCATTTATCACAATGACCCAAAAGATCATATTGTATTGTGAAAGGAGGCTTGTGGAGTTTTTTGTTTTATGGGACTTTTGGCACGTCTTTGCTGCGTCCACTCTTACTACGAATAATTCATTTTGTTTACCAAACAAAATTTAAAAATCAAAAAAAAAATTGTGGATACGATAAAAGCTTATAAACTTTTGTCTTGAGGGGTTAATTTCTGTCCAGCGTCAATGTCAAAAAATTTACACCATCAACAAAATATTTTCATTAGTATGACTTTTAATGGTAACACACGTTAAGTATATCAGTATAAACGTTTTTTACCTTAAATAATTTTCTTAAACGTCATCGCAAAATATGTCTGAATTCATTGATTGTTCAAAAGTCACCATAACAGTCACTAAAAACTGTAAAAAAAGAAACAATTGCTAAAAGAAAATAAGCTTATGAAAGCACAGGCTAATTCAAAGTTTATATACTTTGGGTCCAAATTTAATCATTCCCTATAATAAAAACAAAACAGTTGGTACAGTAATCCAACAAGTAATAAACTCATACTAAAATTAAAAACAAAAACTATGGGAAAACATAAAATAAAGCTATTTTTACAGCAAATTAAAGAAGATGATAATTGAAAGGGGTGGTTAGTTACTGATTAAGATTAGGAAGTTGCAATGATTAATAATCACTCACCCTTTCTGCGAGACTGTGGCTATCAGTAGCTTGACCCCTTCTGGCTCGGACATGAATGTAATCTTGCTTTGAAGGAGGCTCTGGAGGTGGCTTTCCACCTTGCTCCGCAAGCTTTCCTGAACTGCTTTCTCCTTCACCTTTCGCACTCTCACTCTTCTGGTTCCCTGTTGTTTTAACCCGTTTCCCATCACCAACACCACCACCCTCCTTCTGCACAAATCCCAATACCCAAAAAAAAACTTTCATCTTCAACACAAACAAACTCTACCTATAGCTAACAAAAAAACAGATCCATTTTCTTCTTTATTGTAATGTAACCAATTCAATTCTTTTTATTTTTTCTTTTCTTAATTCATAGTAGAACATTGAGTGAGGTACCACGCCATTGCTGGTGGAGACGCCCTTAACCGATTCCTCCTCCTCGGAGTCGCGCCTCTTTTTGTGGCCAATGCTACCCCGGCCCCAGGGGCCAAAATCCGAAAAGGCCGTTGCCCGAAAAAACTGAGCCCTACTGAGGCACACGCGCCGGCAGTAGCGGGTCTGGCCGTTTGGAGGCGGGGGAAATGGCCAGATATCGGAGAGGTTGTTAGGGGACGGTGTTGGCGGCCGGCGGCGTTGGATGATTGGCCGGCCGGAAACCATGTGGGTTTGAAAAAAAAAAAGTGTCAGTGAGGAAGGGGCAAAGAAGGAAGAAGAAGGAAGAAGAGTAGAATTGAAGAGAGGTATTTGGTTTTGGTTTTTTTTTTGGGATTGTTGATCTCCTGGAGAGTGGAGGGAGCGTGTGCGCACAGTTGTGTGTCTGTGTGAGAAGGAAAGCAATTGTTTTCTTTTCTCTGTCCACATACTTCTCACCTAGACCAACTCACCCCCTCGGGGAGTTAGTCCCAAAACCCACGTCATCCTTCTTCCACAATCTCACTCTTATTTTTCTTTTCTTTATTTCTTTTCCCCCTTTCTATATATTCTTCTCATTCTATTGTTCATACATCAAATTTCAGATGATTTTTTTATTTTTTATAATTCATGCCACCTTTTTCTTTGTTTTCTTTCTCATGGGTAATTCATATTGCATCATTTACTAATTCAATTTTAATCCCAAACGTTCAATTGTATCTCGTTATTAGTCACTCAGCTCCTTTATTTTTTTATGGCCATTTTAGATTTTTCTTTTTATGGTTGATAAGCTGAAATATGTATTTTCGTTTGAATATGCACTTTATATATGTAATTTACACAAAAGTAGAGTTGTGAATTTGACATATTTAATCATATTTGGTTATGATTTATGTTATGTAATTTATATAAAGGCAGAGTTGTCAATTTGCCATATTTGATGATATTTGGTTATGATTTATATGAGGTTTGAGAATAACACAGATCATAAACTAAAAAGTGGTTTCATTAAAAAAAATCCATCCACAAAAATTTCTAGGTTAGGAAAGGATTATGAATTTTTTTAACAAAAAATATATAATTTTTAAACTGGCTATGTTTGTTCTCATTTTCATTTTGGGTCATTTTATCTTTATCTCTTATTTAGTTTTTTGTCACGACCTTCAGTTAAGTTGAATTATTTTGATTTTTCAGTTAGGGTTGTCCAATCTTAACTTTTGACCTGAGATAATTTGTTTCAAATTTCTATCCAAAACGACGTATCTCAACCTTTGTCTTAGGTCGGTCTAAACCAACCTTTAGATTGAGATGGTTTGTCTTGACTTTTAGTCATTGATGGTTTGTTTCAACCCTTTAGAAAAATCCATTTTTTAACCTTCGGACCCGGACCTATTAATCTCGTCTTTTGGAATTGGATCAATCTATCTTCACCTTTGGCTTGGATCGAGCCAT